AGGGAAAGATTATCACCCCTATATGAAGAAGTTATGCAGTTACTACAACCAGAGTTTTCAAAAAGACTTTTGGTGCTGCTGATAGGCTGAATGGGAGAACTTGGTATTGGTAGTGTTCGGTTCCAACTGAATTGTAGGAAATGTCTGTGTGCTAAATGGATCATTATATGAAAGTAGGCATCTTGGAGATCGAGGGCTAAGACCTATCTCTGCTGTCTAACACTAGTATGATGGATGCTAGCATAACTATCTTGAACCTTCAGTAAGTTACATACTTGTTGAGCTTTCTGAGATTTAGTATGAATCTCCACCCCTACACTCCCTCACCCCCATCTTTTTCTGTGTGAGGAAATATTTTGAGTAAAAACCTCTGCCTTCGTAAGCCAGTAGAACTGGTTCTATGGCCCCAATTTGTAGAAGACGTTGACTCTCTACTTGTAGGAGGTTTTTGTGAGAGGTATCCCTGAAGAGGAGAGGGCTAAGTAGGGGGAATGTATGTGAAGGGTATGGAGTAGCCCAGACTGATGATCTCTAGAACCTACCAGTTGGATGTTATTTTGGTCCATTCCTGGAAAAAGGTGAATGAATCGGAAGTTGGATGGAATTGGCGATGGTACGACGGGGATGTTGTTTAAACCCTCAACCAAAACTTCAAATTTGTTGTTTCGATGTGGATGGTTGGTTCAGGTTGGATTGCTGCTGACAGTGTGATCTGTGCTTCTGCTCTCTGTGCCTTTGTCTGAAGTCATACTACTTGTTGGGCTACCCCAAAACCTTCTCTCTCCAGGCTTCAGTATAAAACTTCCCCACAAATCCTAAAAATCTAAATTTTGGGGATAATAATCTGCGGCCACCATCAAGTGCTTTTGAATCCACAAACAGGGATGGATACTTGAAACCAACCTCTGGGTTACCCCAAGCTCTCTTCCCAAAAGAGCTTGAAAAAGAGAAAAGCGGAAAAACAAAGCCACTCTGTCAGGGAGGTAAGATATATACACAGACCTTCCAGGACACAAAAAATGAACCTATTACTTAGAAAAAAAATAACTTT